CACACACACACACACACACACACACACACGCACACACACATACTGTAAGCAAATTATCTAAGTGTACCTGTGCATGTACCCTAATTTCAGGTCACTTGTCGAGCTTCTCAGAACAAGCGCGACAGGGTGCTGATAATGTACGATAATAACAACAGTGGGTATATAAGGCTTACCAGTTAGTGAAGGCCTCCATGCAGAGATCAAATATCATCAAACTATTATGTCGTACTGGAAACATGTTGAGCTTGATAACAAGTGGAAGGTGACCACCGTTAAATACTACTCTCGTAATTAATTACCTTGATTATTACTTCAGATATTATCTTGATATTATTGTGTGTCTCTTTTTGTTGCAACTGAAATTGTGCGTGTTTCCTGGTTTGTTATTGTTGTGTTATGATTTTTTAATTCTCTTTTTTTTTCTCCCGCGTGAAGTGAGCATCAATGTCCCGTAATGGTTTTAGTTACAAACCAAAAAATTCGAAAATAATTGAATTACGCATTGACCCAAAATGATCCAAGACTCTCTTTGTCTACTCTTTTTCTACAATGGCCGATAAATTAAATAGTGGTGATCGTGAAGAGAATGATTATGTTGTTGCTGTTGTTGTCTTTACAATTTAGTTGATGATGATGATGATGATGATGATGATAATGATGATGATCTCATTTGTGTTGTTTCTGATGATGAATGGGATGAAAATGTCAACGACAATCGCGATCACTACGAAAACGAAGCCCAGTATCAATATATATCAACTATATAGAACTATATAAAAGAACTAGATCTAGAAGGTTTGCTAAATGCTCGGTGGATAAGCAAAGTGCAACACGTCGCACACTCGAACCCTATCAGCTGCGATGCGATTTGAAGTGTGTTACAGATGACAGTCCATGCCGAATGGCGATGCACGTCCCCTTCAACCCAGTCACAGATGGTGTGTGATGGTTAAATAAAAAAAATAGATATATTATTATATCTGATCTATACTGTAAAGCATTTATTCTTTTTCTCACCGTGACTCATCTGAATTGTTTCGCGGTAATCAACGAATAATCCCTTACTTACAGCATCGCTTTCAACGGCAACCTGTATGTAGCTTGACAAAAATAGATCTGACATATTATTGGTGGTCTGACCTAGACCAACCAAATTGTCAATTCTCAGCTGGGTTTGCGAGCGATTCCGCGCGGGCTCGGCTACACGGCTGTGCCCTGAAGCTATTTTTAGAACAGGGACTTTCAGTATCTCAGCTGTAAATTTTGGAAGAGCTGGCGGACGGGAGTAACCACGGAATGAGACGGGTTTAGGAACACGTTTTTGCCATTGTTTGATATTGATTAATGACGCTCTTGGATACCAGTAAACAACCGAAGGTAAGATTTATGTTACCATATGTATTGTAAGGAATTCATTATTAGTTTTGAAGAGAAATCGTCCCTATTGTGGACCAGACGAGAGAACTGAAGGCAAAGCCTGGGCCTGGCTTGTCTTGTTGTGACATAAACGGTTCTCCGCTTGATGAATGCTTTGGCTTGGTGGGGCAGTGAGGGCTGTTTTCGATTTCCTCTGGTTTGGTTCAGACCAAGACATGGTGAACATTTTGTAAAATGTTGATTCCATACTAGATCTAGATGTTATTTGTTGTCGTCCATACTTCTCTTCTGCTACGCAGTGAGTGACCGATATCGCTCAATATTGTTATTATAGTCTGGCCGAAGTGGACACAGATTCTACGCGTTCTTCTCTGCTTACTACAAATCCACAGTCATTATCACTATCCAAAATCATGACGAAGCACTTGCTGGCGAATCCACCTCGAGTATTCCTTTTATAGCAGTTTACAACCATGGAGAAGTCCCCCCCCCCCCCCCCCTTTTTTTCCTCCTTTTTTTCCATTGTGACTTTCCTTTTAAATCTTTTCTCAAACAATTTTGTTGTTGTTGTATAATATTCTATCTGCTTCGAAACCCAAATATATGGGGATAGATTCAGAGCTGAGCAGTAAACACTACTGACAGAAAATACTCTAAACTCACAGACTAACTAACAGATGGATACAAACCAACTGACAGTGACAGTGACACTGATTGACGTTTATATGAATAGAAGGAAGGATGAATGGAAGGAAAGATGCATGAAAGGATGAATGTATTCAATTGGACTTATGGTTGTATAAATTTATAGAGAATATGAAACTAACTCATGAATGAACAGCTGGTAGCAGCAGACAGAATAGTATATTAAGTTGGTTTTTTTTCATACCTTTGATTTACCCTATTTTGAATGTTTTTCAGTTATGAATGTAGTCATTGAAGCACCAGATTAGCTGACAAAATCATTGTAAACTAATCTCGAAGACCCAGCGACACTGTCCTGTTATATAATTCTTATCAACATTGTACACATAGTATACACTATAGCATTAATTAGTCATTAGAGTGTGTATCTAAACTGTTCTCGTTATGTTGAATTTTGTCAACAGTAAAATATTTTTGAAAGTATAGACGTTTCGTATACTGTAGAAGCATTTTATTGTGTCGTAATTGCTACTTTATTGTAGATGTGTGTAAAATTTAAATATGACAATATCTTGCTTTCATTGTCACGTGTAGACCAAGTGCTCATATTTTCACCCAACCCTAGCTTTTTTAATCAAATTTTTTAAATGAAGAATTGGGTCAGGTTAATTCAAAAGTCAGCATTAATGTTATAATATTATATGTTGTTCTGAGCTTTTGATCGTCCATCATGTGATTGTGAGAGGGATGTCGTTTTTCCCGGAGGGAGATTGTGGGGGGGGGGGGGGGAGGGTCCGTTATTTCCATCATAAAATAGACACTTGGGAGGCTGCTAAAACAAGGGAAATCGGGGGATTGTATTCTTTTCAGAAAAATGGAGTATCAACAAAATCAAGCTTTATAATGTCATTTTCTTCATGCAAAAAGCAAGGTAAAAGGAACTGTTACTGTTCTCAGCATTTGTTTTCTTGTTTAATCCCATATGAGGTGTGTCTATTAAAGTCTGTCTTTTTGTTTGCAAATGCAACTTCATAAAATTACAGCTATTTTCACAGTGGTATCCCTGTTCTAGTTTTCATGTCGCTCAGGGTACAATGGCCTGAATGACACATTTTAAAAATCATCTCTTATTTTTGTATTTGTTTACAGTTGACATTGGAGAGCAGGCAGTTTGAACAAATGGTGGTATTGAGAACATGCTCTTGTCTACTTGTTAAGCACATCATTGTAAGGTAAGTAAATGTTTTCACGAATTGAAAGTAAAGAAAAAGGGGTTGGATTAAAGTGAAAAGAAACATAGTCTGAATTTTTAGCTGAAAACTGAATAACTGAAGCTAATATAAAGTCATGAGAGAGATCAGAGCAGAAAAGAGGAGGAAAGGGAGAAGCAAAAGGGAAATTAACTCACTGATTGCACAGTATCCAGTCGCCTTACTGTGATGCATGTATGTGCTCTTTGTTTGATTTTTCAAGAGAGATTTCTTATGAGAGAAAGAGGAGGGGGGGGCGGGGGAAGATAGATGCTATAGAAAAAAAGAGACACAATTAAGGAAAGAGTATGAGTTTGTGGGTAAATTCCATAAAAGAAATTTACAGACTGACGTAGATATTTGGTACCAGTATCTGTGGTGTAGCAGTCAGGTGCTGTGCTGTTGTATGCAGAAAACTTGAATTCAATTCTCGTGTGGGGAGAATTTTTATTGAATTTCTCTTTTTTTCTACTTGAATGTTGTATCCCTGTCTGTCTGAGTTAGCCCTAACAGGCAGGAGCATGGGTGGTTGGCGGGTGCTCTTCTTTACTATCAAATATCTATCGTCCTAATCTCCCCTCCTTCTTTTTTATGTTTGTTACTCTCTTGTAACACCTCTAATCTTCTGGGGCTCATATGACCTTATGCAGTTGCGAGTGCCATAAAACCTCTTCTAAAACTAACTGACAGGCAGGATCAGAGCCGGACTCCTAAATAATCATAACTGTAACAATGGGATTAAATTTTTTTTTAAACGATGTAAAATTTACAAGAAAAAAAAAAGAAAAGCAGACAGTCTTCAAAAGGGAGATGGAGAGATAAATTGCCAATAGAAAAATACTTATCTATCTAAAAAAACCCACATACAGTATAGCACGTATAGGCCCTACATAACAAAATGGGCAGGACGTGGGAATCTTTTCATTATGCAAAAATTTCGCAACGTGTATGTGTTTTCAAGTACAGAGAATATACATAATATAATGTATAATAACAAATTTGGGACCTGAAAAATATGTTTGCTATGTGCATGCTAGACTGTGATATACACTGCCAGTTGCCCGTGATTATTATGTTGTTAGGTGTAAGGGTAAAAGTAAAGTATACCTCCCCACCCCAGAGGGGAAGGGGGAGAATCCACATTTGCTCTTACTGGTGTAATTGTGGCTTTGGTCATGGTAGAAAGATGGAATTGTCCCACAACTTGTTTAACAACACTAACGTACACTATCATTTAGTGTAGGTCTAAAGAAATTAACGTGGGGCAGAAATACACAATGTTACACTGCAGACAGGTTTACCATTTTACTTTTTAAAAAGTGAATGCTTTATAAATTATTAGGCTTGTATCCTCATTTTCTCAATCTTCCCAGTTCCAAAATATTTCCCGTTGGATGAATTCTACCAAAGTAATTTCAAAGCTACTGAAGTCATAATTTTAGGTTTGGCGGTTCTTCTGCCGGTCAAGAGAGATTTTGGTTGTGTTTTTTAAATTAAATATTGTTGATATGTAGATCGATATCTGTTGTGTAAAATTGTGTCCCTTTCAAGAAATACTGAGAAATATTAGGAAGCTTCGTAAAACAGACCAAAAGGAAAAGAAAACCACAAACCTCGGCACATGATTACATTGCATTATCGGACATTTTTGCTCAGTGCTATTTTTAAACAGGGAAAAACCCAACGCCAGGGAGTCGAGCTCTTCTCTCTTGTCTGATCAGTTAGGAGTTCACTCTGGAGTCTGTAAAGAAAGAAGTCAAGTATAGGGTAGAAAGCGTCTTTGCCCTATACATAATAAATAGCGTGTTATCTCTGTGCGGGTAAGAACGTGTTTTATGTATATTGAATGAATTTTTGTTCAAGAAAGTTTAGGGATTTGTTTCTACCAGTATTAAATCGAATATACCCCGGAACTTGTAGGTGAAGTTTATTGAAAAATTTTGGACGCGAAAGACCTATTATCGATAAGGCCGCGCGAACTCCTCGTTGGAGGTCAGGAAATGGTTAGATTTATGTTGCCGTTCATTTCTTTTTCTGTTGTTTCCATTTTATAACGATATTTGTGTTTATTAGTGGTGGTATGTTTAGGTTAACTTGTGTGCGCATTATCCTTGTGCTTTGATTCTTGATGAAATTTGTTGTCTTGTTTCACACTCACGTCTCCATTTTCAGTTGGAGTTAGGCCTAGGTAAGAACTTGTGCGTCGAGTTTTGATACCAGGATCTCCTCCATTTGACCCAGGAAGTTTGATGATTGCATAGGCCTAAAATGTAACGGAAGTCTACGAGTTTAGCTCTTACTTAGCCTAGGTTATAACAACGTTTCCCATAGTATGATTAATGATTAGTTATAAAGAGGGACAGTGCTGTTGCCTCACAATAGGCTACCCTGCAAACTGCAAGGATGGGCATTTCAAATTCAAGCTCTTAACAGGCCTTGGCCTAGGCTAGCCATCACACATTTCTAACTTCTATCGCTATGTTTTCTAGAAGTTCTTGATCCAGCAAGTAAATTAGTAGATTCTAGATTCTGTCGTAGTCTAAGGAATAACAAGAAGCATGAAAATGTTCTTTCTTCAGTTGACTAAAATGAAAATGCACACAATAAAAATTATAATTATAATAACTTCCTTGATACACACTTTGTCTACACTAACCAAGTTTTAGTGAATCTGGACAGGTTTAAAATGAAGAATTTACCTGCCATTTGGAACATATGTCTTTTAATTGCTTTTTACTCGTGAGTTCACCCTTATTTTGCCCTTCTGAAAGTAAAAGTGTTGCATTTTATGAAGTTCATGGGTTTTGCTGTGTAACTTTGACTTTGATCATCCAACTTATGATTTCACATCTTGAGAAACAGAATTGCAAGTGTTTGTGCCGTTACTTTAGTGTAAGATTTGTTTAATTTGAGTATTCAACTTGATCCAACCTGAAGTTTTTAAAAGTTTTGGTCCAGTTTGTTGTGTATTTTTAATCACAAAACAAAATTTACGTGGATCAGATTGAATAAATTTTTATTTAAATACTCAGATCACTTTGGTTCCAGCTTTTCCCATTATAACTCCCCTCCAAAGCAGGGAGGGGTTTGAAGGGAACCAGCTTTTTAAATTCGCATGCGTTTTAAATTCCAATAGGGTTTCAAAGAGGAAATTAGTGATGAATGTTTAATCTACAAAAAGGCAAAGATGCTGCTTTCATGTCGTCGAGTGTCATGCCACATGACACAGACTCATGTGTGAAGAAAAGAGAATTGAAAATTCAATGTGGTAGATTGAGCGGGATTCTTTACAATTGGTCTGACAATAATTTGTTTTGAGAGCATTTATATAAAAAAGTCTGCTTGGGAATAAAAACCTCAGTAAAGTTTATGTAGCTGACCATTGTCAATTGTACAAGCTTAGAGGTGTGTTGTAAGTATTATTAGTATTATCCTCATCATTATTTTATTATTATCATTTATAAATCATTAATATTATATTATTATTATTGTATTTTTATTTCTATTCCCCCCCAGAGTCAAATAATCTTAAATTTCCTTAGAGATAAACACATGTGTCATGAGCAACGCAACCAGTACCGCCGCTTGTGCAAGACCAAGCACCAAGCCTCAGATGTCCGATGTCCAATTCGATGCAGTGGTAGAAGTCATGGAAGAACTCACCCATTCAGGGGCTCAAGGGGGCAAGGAGATGCTGCAAGAGGCTGCCGTTAGTGTTGTCCCTATGAAGGGTTACCCCAAAAACATTTTTAAAAATGGAAAAGATGCAGAGAAATTTCAGTGTAATTACTGTAAAAATGTTCTGAGGAATCCCCTGCAAAGTGAATGTGGACACAGATTCTGCGAGGGTTGCCGAGATGAAATGCGGAGGTAAGGATTATTGTAGTCTCAATCACAATGATTGCATTTTTGTTTTGTTGTCGTGTAACTTTGTCATGTTTGTTCAATGGGCAGTGCTTCCACTCTTCCGTATTTTTATGGAAATCTGTACTTTCTGCCTGTTCCGTACTTGTTCCTCCGTCATTATCAACTCCCTCCGTTAAAAAATTGTGACAGCGTACGACTAGAATCTAGATATCTACTGAAATTCTGTAGCAAAAGATCCGTTGTCACCTTTGTATCGTCTTGTATAAAAGCTACGGATATTTTCAGTAATTCTCTCGGCAATTAGTTAATGTTATAGAGAGACCTGCCAGATTGAGCATTTCCTGCAATCTACCATTTTATTCCACTGTGCCTCATGCGTTCATTGTGGGTTGGTCGGCAGTACATTTTTACCTGCAGATTGATCAAAATCTGGCGAACTTTTTGTGCCAATTTCCTTCTTTCTATCATTCACTCATTCTGTCTGTCTATCTTCGGACTGTTGCCGCGGCTGGAAAATATGCGGGTTGATCAAGTAAATTGACTTGTGATCTTAGACAGAAAATTACTGTCAGAAATAAACTTCTTGTTTGCAAATTTATTGTCTAGATCTAGAGAAATTATCAATGCGAAGATTCATTGTCCACCTCATTATCATTATGTGCACACCATAAAAAAGGTAAATGTGCAGATGAGGTTATTGTAGAGTAGTGTGTACAAAAAGCTAGATTTTTTGGCAATCAAGCCCAGCCTCCATTTGTAGCTATGGGATATTGGGATAGTATTGAAAAAGAACGCAGCTATCATTTGGACGTTTGTTCAGATGTGCCCTTTTTGTTACATTTGTCTTGCAGTTATGGCTGTGGGTTTGATGTCAGTGTCAGTAGGACGTCAGACTCTGAGAAATATCGTGTACTGCCTTTTTATTTAGCTTACCATACTGGTAATGGGGTGTTCATTATTAGCAGGAATGGAGTTTTGTGAAATAGTGGTATATATTGTATTGTGCCTAAAGAAAGGTAACAAAAGTCAGATTTTAACAATTGTGAGTTGAGGGTTGTACCTAATAGGACATTCAATGCTGAACACAGTGGTTTTTGGATTTTTGAGATATCTCAAGTAGTTTTTTAGTATATTGCACAGTTTGTGAGGTAACGTATAGAGATCTAATTTTGAGAAAATTTGCTTTTAAGTTTAGAACTCATACAAACTTTTTTAAAAATGATGATTCAATTGTTTCTAATGTACTTATTCATGGAAAATTCATTTCCAATTCGGCATTCAGTTGACATCAATATCATGATTAGAATTCAATGGTAAAACATAGCGGAGAAGATTAAACATGCTTCAAGAATAGATTTTAACACCTTTTAAAAGCAGTTTTCATTATCTTTTTTAAAGCATGCCCTACTCCTCAAAATGATTCAAAATAAAATATTTAGAAGTCAAATCAATGGAAACTCCTTTTACACATTGTTAAAAAATGGTGGAACTATCATTTTTTAAAAATGGAAACACCCATTTTGGTCAAATAAGTGATTTTTTTTTTGTGGTCATTATAGACCATCCATAGAGCACAGTGTCAAAACGAGCAGCCTGCTGACTCAACCATTTCTTTCTGTTAAAACATGCTGCCTTCAAAGCTTACGTCATAATCTTTGTTGTTCAGAGGATTCTTTTATGTAACTGAATGTTTTTGTGTATACAGCCTTGTCCAGCCTGTGAGATGCGGAGCGTGTTTAGCGGAAGATGTCGATCCAGAGGAAAGCATTCTGAACCTTGACGCAGTAAGGGTTTTGATTTTTGCAACAGAACATTTTGACTTTTGCTACATATTCATTCAGTATTTTGTCTGATTTCTGTTCTTTTTAATAACCTGCTGCTGCTAATAAAAGCAGCACATTTTTTCTAAGGGGGCGGGGGGTGCGCTATTTACCTTTCAATGAGCCTTTAGATCTTTCCTGCCCATCTGTCTGTCTCTCTTACTTTCTGTCCGTGTATCTATTTCTCTCATTGATGTTGAGCGTGTTGATCCTTTGGGGTTTATTTTTTTTACTGCTAACAAGTTTTAATTTGAAAAATATTGGCATGTTTGTTTTCAGTTTTAGCATTACTTATCAATTCTGTTTCTCTCTTTTCTAATGTTTGTCCCTTTTATTTGTTGTGCTATTTTCTGATTTTAAAAACTTTACTGTGATTGATATAATTAATTTTGTACATAATTTTGAAAATCTACAGATGTTTGCAGATAAAGCCGCCATTAGAGAGATGCGGAAATTGGAAGCAAAATGTCCGAATCCAAACTGCTCATGGTCAGGGCAGTTCCTGCAATATCAGGTTAGTTATTATGAGGATGTATGACAAACTGCAGTAGTTGATAAAGGTAGAGGGGTGGGGAGGGGGATGACTTTGGTAGAATTTACTTATACTGCTTGTGTGTCCCCCTTGTTTTCATTCCCATTTTTGTTTCTGTCTGTTGTTGCTCTCATTGTGCGATTTTGTGTGGGTGTATTTCTCTTCTCTTGACTCAAGCCATTGTCCTTTTCTGTTAAAGCTGAAATGTGGCCTTCAATTATGCAGGTATAACACTCTAAAATCAGGGCTACTCATGTGACTTGTTTGAGCTACCTTTTTTAGTTACTTGTATTTTATCCCTCCTGTCTTTGCTTTTTAGATTTTCCGCTTGGGGGGTTGGAGGGTGCCACTGATAGGTCTTTAATTCTTCACTTTCCCTTTTTTCCATCTGCTTGTTTGTCGTGCCTTTCCCTCCCCAGCTTTTAATGACAGTTATTGTATTGTATCAATGTGCTCCTGAACTTTACTTTTACTTTTCCGATCCAGCGACCATCTGAGTTCTAGCCCTTCGGCCTATGTGCTCCTGTTTACTTATAATAGACTAGCAGGGTACCCGTTCTATGAACAGACTCAAAAGAATTGATCGCCAAGTCATTGTGGAACTAGTGCGCACCGCTTGTGAACAGGAGCCTCACTTGTTTGCTATGGTGTCTTAGAAGACGGACTCCCCCAAGTTTGATCGAAACAAAACTAGTGAAAAACTGAAAATTAAACTACAGTGACTTAAGACTCCTTAATATAACTGTGCTCCCTTTAAATGACTCTGAACCAGCGTTAATTCTTTCAAATTCGAAAGTTGTTCTGAAGTTTTAGGGGACCAAAGTGACTAACTTTCACAAATATTATATATATAGGTACCAATTGGATTCTTAACTGTACTTGAATTTCAGTGTCACCCTAATAATATGTGGCAAACTAGATTGTGTGTTGGTGGTTGGTGGACGTTAGTGGCAGTGGTATTACAATTTCTTGTCTTTTCCTCTGTTGTTTCTGTTTGTCCTGCTTTTTCCCTGCACAAAATGACCATTGTTGTGTCTATATGCTTCTCTCTAATCAAAACGATATGATTTGGTTGTTACTACTCTTTTAGTAGTGAGGAATCATTTAAGTTTTGTGAATTTGAATTGTGTGGCTGTTGTACTAAATGGTAGTGTACCTCATGGACTTACTTACCTTTACTTTTTCATTCTTTGTTGCCGTTAAGCGTCGAGGGGAAATGCAGTTTTCTATGGTAGGCCAGCTCTGCAGCTCTTTCAGTTGTGGTGTTATGTTTTCTTAGGGTTTCCTTGACACCCTCATTCCGCCTTTTGCTTGGGTGGTTGGTGGGTGCTTTTGTGTGGTTTGCTCCTTCTTTCCTATAAAATATCTATCGTCGTTATCTCTCCTCCTCCTTTTTTTATATGTTACTCTCTTGTGACACATCTATTCTTCGGCACTTATATGACCTTATTGTGTTGCAAGTGCCGTAAAACTTTTACTAATACTACCTTTTGTTTGGATTTCCTCTTCCCTTATAACCCCTCATCGACACTTAGAAAAATAACGTGCATAATATGACTTTTGTTGTGGGAGGCTAGAGGTTGCCAGTGGTAAGTCCCGCTTTCTTTCTTTCCCTCTGTTGTTTGTGCCATTCTGTCTTATTTTTTCTGTGGGTGATTAGCGTGTAGGCTGATGAGGTTTGCTCCCTATTCCCTATCAAACATCTGTCATCCTATAAATGTCTCCCCCCTCTTTTTTGTGTTGGTATCTCTCTTGAACACTTCTACCCTTCGGCTCTTAAATGGCCTGTTTGTGTTACAAGTGCCGTAAAGCTCTTACTAAAAAAAAATTATTTTCCCCCGAGCTAAATTTTAATGACTAGTAAATGTGTTAATCAATTGTTTTTTTTTGCTCAAACAAGAAAAGTTTAGTAATATGACTGTTTTGTTTCTTCTTCCTCACCTCCCCTCCCTCCCCCCAAACACAAACACACACGCACGCGCACACACACACACACACACACACACACACACACACACACAAACACAAACACAAACACACACACCACACAGGAGCATGAGAACAGCTGTGAGAAAAGGCTGGTGCTGTGTTCTCTGTGTGGGATGCAAGTGTCTCAGGGCCAGCTGGCCAAGCATCAGAAGGACCAGTGTCCCAAGAGGCAGGTGGAGTGCCCCTTCTGTAAACAGAAAATGACCTATGATGAGCGAGAGGTGAGTCTGAAAGAAATTCTTTTTTTTTAAATGGTTGTTGAGCCACTTGTTGGACATGATTAGTCTCATTTGAAAGCGGCCACATTGTGCCTCTTTGATCATTAATTTGAGATGGGAGAAACATTGTGGGCAGGCCAAGAAAAATTAGACAGTCTCTGAAGAAACTCTCACATTTTTTCCTCGTTGCCTTGAGTTTATCTACCTTCTCCACCCAGTAGGGGCCAAAAAAGTTCAAGAGATTTGGATTGGTTTATCATAAAATGTATAAATCTTAAGTTTATCCCAGTTCCGTATAGCTTCATGTACTCACTTTAATTCTGTTCGCTTCGTGCATGAGTCACAATCAAGAAGTCTCTAACCCCCCTGTACTTTACACTTTGAAGGAATTTTTGTTCTTTCCTCAGTAGTTTGCATGGGCAAATCATTCAATGGGTGCAGATGCACTGATCTACAAGGCTTTTGTAAGCTGTAAATCCCAAGCTTATATTAGAACGAGAGTGACAAGAACGTTGATTTTCGGAACGAAGATAATGTCTTGACATCAACACACTCCCCGTCTTGGTGTTCAGTCTTTTTTTCTGGTCAGAAGCTCTTGGATGCTCAATAGTCTGTTTAGTTCACCTAACTCAAAGGTTTTCAACATATTTAGGTAAGAGTAAATTTGATTTCACCACATTTGAAGATGTTTTTAAAACTTTTTAAAATTTCATCTCTTTTTTAAAATCTGTCCACCAGAAACATAACGATAACTGTCCGAACGCCCCTATCAAATGTGATAAATGCTTTGCGATGGTCCCTCGCAGTGAGGTGAGTTTTGTTTGTTTTCACAAGTACCTTTATCATTGCCTCATGTGTGAAGGGATAATATTTGTTTGCTGAGTTCTTGCTGGCATGAATAGAAGTCTGTCTTTTTGAAATCTAAGTGTTTGTTACAAGTTTATTTTTGTGTTTGTTACGAGTTTATTTTAGCATTAATTTGTTATGTTGAATGTTTTAATTCCTGTATTTGAGATGTAGTTCATCTAAGTTTTTGTGGAGAAGATGGGGAGGGTAAGGAAGGGACGTCTGTTTTGTTTGTCTATTTGTTTTAGACATGTCATTTCTTTGCTTTCCTTGTCAACAGGTGTTTATATGTAGATTAGACAGAAGAATTATTTTTTTAAAGATTTTTTGTTGTTGTTTGTTGTAAGTCTTGAGAAAAATTGTGTTTTAAGGATTTTTTGTCTTTGTTGTCTAATAAGTCTTTTAGAAGTGAAAGAATCAAAAGCTCATCTTGAAGTTGTTTTGAAGCTTGTTTTTTTAAATTTAAAAAAAAATTTGTCTCTATTATGGTGAGGACTCTAACATGAGATGTTAACTTTTAATAGAATGTATTATAACTTGAGGCTTTTAAGTGGAACATGGTTAGGCTCTTAAAAAATGTAAGCATGATTTTTCAAGCATAGAAGAAATGATGATATTTGAACTTGAAATTCTGCATTTCCGAAGGATTCATTTCATCTTTACCACATATAAGTTTTACTTCTTACTTGGTATGTGATCATATGACCTTGCTGTTGCGAGTGCCGTAACACCTTACTAAAACTAAAAGTCTAAAACTGATTCAATGGGAAGGTTGAGAAATTAATTTTAAAATCTCCTTTTGTCACCGTGTCATTTTGAGTATGAAATTCTGACTGTGCTTTTGATCCTTCCTACAGATGAGTAAACACTTGGAGAGTGAATGCTCCCACAGGGAAATTGAATGTCCTGACCCTGATTGTAAAGCGAAGGTAAGCATGAAAAAGGATTGGGGGAGAGGACAAGACCGGGAATTAAGGCCTGTGTACATGATACCTCTCTGAACCTTTTTTTTTTTTTTATTGTCAATTTTGTGTTTGTTTTTCACCCTTGGGTGGTGCTACTGACTGAAGTGTCTTTAGGCCATTCCCAAAGGGAGGGGGGGGGGAGGGAGGGACATTAACTTCATTATTATCTCGAGTTCTTATGCACAGTAGAATTGTAATTGTAAATGGGCTGATTCATCAATGTCAAGCTCATAACTGTGCCTGAACTGCAACAGGGAACTGCTGCTTTTTCTTTCCTAATCCTTACCATCGTCATTTTTTCTCTACTTCTTTGGTCACTCTTATGACCCGCTTTTTCTGGGGAGTGCCTTGATAGTCGAAGCAGACTTTGTGCTGTTGAAGCTAGAGAGGTGAGCAGAGTAAGTCTGATTCGCTGTAAGGACTTCTCTGTTGACATCCACCCCTTGGCGCTCATATGACCTTTTGCAGTTGCGAGCGCAGTAAAACCTCTACTAAAACAAAAAAACTTTTGTGTTTTTAATTTTTCCTATGGGTTAATTATTGTAGGCTGTATATAATTTTTGTAGATTTTTTTTCGGGTGGGGGGGGGCTTTGTTCAGTTCACATCCTATCTCTTTAATTTGTTTGGGGTTTTTTTTACCCCCTGGATCTGAGCGTGAATTTTGTATACATGTTCTTGAGAGTCTTGTGTGAACGTTATTGGTTACTTCACATATCTCTAACCGTGGCTTGGTCTTTCTGTAGAGTGGATATGATTGGTTTCGACATGTGTTTTGCGTGTTGGTCGTGCTTACTGCTGCTGCCTTCAACAATCTGGTTTCTCTTTCTTGCTGATGGTTGAAAGTGTTAAAAGCTTTGAGGAGAGTGACCACATCCTGATTTTTTTCCTTAGCGGCCTACGCATTTGCTGCTTAAAACAGATGTCTATTGCTAGGGAGTTTGATGCTGTAAGAAACTTTTTTGTGAATAAAATGGTGTTGAGAATGCGAGATCATCCTCAGATTGTTCGGGCCAAGCTTGCCAGGACTACTGCTGCTTATCAGATTGGCATGAAATTTTATAAGAGGATTCAAGTTTAACTGCTGCTTCCTTGGATGTTCTACTGTTGTGTGTGCCTGGGTTGTCTTCTGTGCTGTACTTTCACGAGTAGAAAGTGGAGACAGTTTGTTTCAGTCGACCTCATCTCAACACCAAACTGTCCTTTCATGGTTCAGCCTGGCCCGACGTCTAAGGCCTGCCGGTGATTGTATCGGCTCTCAAATTTTAGCCAAATGACTGAAGATGTGTTCCTGGTCTGATGAACTGTGGATGCCTTGGGGGTTGTTGTACCTGCTCCTACCCGCCCTAGTTTACTATTGGGCCATCACATCGGCATTTTTTCTACACGCCCATTGTCAATTTTTTCAAATGAAATTTTGACCTCGACTATCACATTTGATGGTGAACTTCACACTTCCATTGTTAACTTCTGGATGGAGATACGTCTGACTGTTTTATATCTTCAGTTTTTTACTGTTGCCAGGAGTGTAATTTAGATGGTCACAGATGTGAATTCGTTAATACAACTTTTGACGATATCTGTGAGAAAGCAGATTCTGCCAGGCAGTGGTGGAAGGAATTTTAACATAAGTGTTTGTTAATACCTCTTTTGCCTGTGCAGTTACAACAGCAGTCGTACATAACAACAGTGACAACTTTTAATGAACGAAAACAACCTTGCGGTTGGAGGAGCTGTTGCAAAAGGACAATCATGAAAGCTATTGCACGATGACAATTATGAAAGCTGTTGCACAGAAACAAAATTTGCTCATAAAAGCTGTTGTACAATGACAATATGTATGCACGAAAGCTGTTTATCAACGGAAAAAATGTGCTTTTGAAAGCTGTTGCTCAAGAACAATCAAGAAAACTGTTGTACAATACAACAGTAATATGTGTTCATAAAAGCTGTTGTACAGCAACTACAACAACATGTTTAACCTTGAGAGGAGGCCCATTAATTATTTCAAAACAGGACCGTGGGAACGGGGAATCGACCCTGAAATCGTGTTCCCCTACCTGTACGGCATAAGCGGAAGGAGTGACTCCAGCACGGGGATCCAAAGCGCTGGGCTTCGCCAGGAAGTGTACGGGGCACTATCCCAAAAACGGGGAGGTACAAATTAGATTCCAAGGCACCCATCCATTACTGGTGAAAATCAGGACTTGTAACTTCTCTGGGCTGCTGGCCTACAAACGTAGAATCAACAACACATTGGACCCGATCTGTCCTTTGTGCAGCAAAGAGCCGCAAGATTTGGAGCACTGGCTGCAGAGATGCCTCGCTACGGAAGTCCGGCAGTGCCATCTCTTTCGGGAAGATTAGCAACAACAACAACAGCAACAATGTGTAATCGTGAAAGCTGTTGTACAACAACGACAATAACAACATGTATTCCTGAAAGCTGTCGCACAACAACAACAACAACAACATATTCATGAAAGCTGTTGTACAACAATAACATCAACAGCAATAGCAACAGCAACTACATGTATTCATGAAAGCTGTCGCACAACAACAACAAGAACAGCGACAACATGTATTCATGAAAGCTGTCGCACAACAACAGCAACAACAACAACAACAATGACAACGACAACATGTATTCATGAAAGCTGTCACACAACAACAACAACGACAACATGTATTCATGAAAGCTGTTATACGACAACAACAACATATATTCATGAAAGCTGTCGCACAACAACAGCGACGACAACAACTTGTATGCATGAAAGCTGTTGTACAATGACAACATGTACTCTTAAAATCTGTTTCACAACAACAATCATGAAAGCTGTTGTATCCAGAGATTTGTGTGTCTGCACTAGACTGCCAACTACCATACCCAAGTGTGAGTTTGACACTGGTAAGTAAAGTTTTATGCTTCATTCTAGGTTCTTGGGTGACGCTCTGTGTTTCAATTGTGTGGAGGTGGCTCTGGTAAGTATTTTGTGAGGTTGCCAAGTCAACAATCTTGAATGACTGTCCTTGGAATTTTGTAATGCCAGTGTGGGAGCATGGGAATTTTTAGCTTCATGGCCTGGATTCTGTGACCTGCTCTCTGACCACGGCAGTGTAATGAATGGGAAGACTTCTTTTTAGTGTGTTTTTTTAGAACACTGTCAGATCTGTTGGTTTTGTACCAGACAGCCATGTGAAATGTCCTAGTTCAAGCAACCGTTGGGGCAATGTTTAGTTTTGGAGACTTTTTTGGCTCTTCGGGATATGTAGATTAGCAAAACACATTAGGAATTGTTTGATAAACATGGATTCTGGGCACAGCACTGCATAGACTAGACCAGCTGCAATGAAATAGCCCCTTTTTTTTTCAATTGTTCTGGAATTAATTATTAACGAAGATTGTGGTTGGCGAATGCTCTGGTGTGATTTGCTCCTTCTCAAACACCTTTTGTCCTTATCTCTCCTCCCTCTTTTTCTTGTACATGTATCCTACTTTCTCGTAAAACCTCTAAATCTTTGGCACTCATATGACCTTAGTATGTTGCAAGTGCCCTAAATCTTTTACTTAGACTAAACTATTTATCAATAAAGTCAATTTTGTTGTCGTATGTGCCCTGTAGATGCCCCGCCACCAGTTCCAAACTCACTTCACGAAGCACGAGAGCCTCCCCAAACACATGCTTTTCCTGTACGAGAAGATCGCACAGCTCACATCACAAGTAGACCAGCTGACCATGGACCCGGCGCTAGCGGCGGGAGTTGTCGGTGGTGCGTCTGCTACATCTTCTGCTTCTTCATCTCAGCAAGCCCATGTGCATGCTTCGTCTGACCGGAGCCGTGGGGATGTGGCAGGCGCTGAGGGAGGTCAAGGTGTGTTTTTCTCTTGAAATCGTGTTCCCCTACCTGTACGGCATAAGCGGAAGGAGTGACTCCAGCACGGGGATCCAAAGCGCTGGGCTTCGCCAGGGCATGAGAGCTGGGCGCACAGTACAACATCTACACTGGCGGCTCGGTAAGTGCAGGAACAGGAAAAATGCAGCTATGCATAAGCAATGCAAAATCTCAACCCACGATACAGTGAATCCCATGTCACTGTGAGATCCTGGGCAACTACTTCTCAGACAGTACTGCCAAAATAGCAACAGTGCTGCCGGGTCCAGGCCACCAAATCGCATATATGGAAGTATGTGTGCCCAGTTAAAACTGTTTATCAAAGAATACACACGCAGATGAAGGAAGTGTACGGGGCACTATCCCAAAAACGGGGAGGTACAAATTAGATTCCAAGGCACCCATCCATTACTGGTGAAAATCAGGACTTGTAACTTCTCTGGGCTGCTGGCCTACAAACGTAGAATCAACAACACATTGGACCCGATCTGTCCTTTGTGCAGCAAAGAGCCGCAAGATTTGGAGCACTGGCTGCAGAGATGCCTCGCTACGGAAGTCCGGCAGTGCCATCTCTTTCGGGAAGATTAGCAACAACAACAACAGCAACAATGTGTAATCGTGAAAGCTGTTGTACAACAACGACAATAACAACATGT